TAGAACCCCTCTTCTTGAGAAAGAAGCACCAGAAGAACGATTAATGCCGCGACTTATCCTAAGACGGTGACCATCGCGCGCAACTGTGCGCAAGCAGAAAAAGAGAATGCGCACGAAGCAGCAGCTTAGCCGCTTCAAACGGTCGTTCGGCAACAAACACCCACTATCATTACCAACGCACACACACCATTGATGAAGGCCCCGCATAGCGATTGCATGAAGATCGTCCGCAAAAATAAACAGACCAGACCACGATCAAACCAGACCAGCCAAACTATGCTCTTGCGAAAACGGGCACAAGTTGCCCTTCTTCCTTTTGTCACACCCCGTTTACTTCGGTGGGATGGGTGGCTTCGGGAGGGGAGGGGAGCGAGAGGTCTTACCGCAAAGCGCGCCGTTTTGAACCGCTTCTTCACACCAAGTTCCAACCGCTTCTCTCCCCGTCACGCCCGTCTGACAAGAACATGACTCGTCCCTGGCGCCATTGACCGTTAGGCTTTCTCTCATGCGGTTGCGGCAGCCGCTAGAGTTGACAGCCCATACAGCCCACGGCAGCCCGAGAGCCAAAAAAGGTAAAACAAGAAAAGTCAACCATTCTTTTTGAGTTTCCATGTTAAGTTCCCGCGTCGGGCTTGTTCAACGGGACCAAGAAACCTATTGGACGGGTTGAGATCGTTATCAAGCCTGACGGATACCATCATCATGACTTGTCCGGTTGTAATAGCCGCAAATGAAGGGAAAATGGTAGAGCAACTCTATTTCGTCTGGACTTCTGTAACCCTTTCCCCTCATGTATTCGCGTCCTTCCTCGTCCTTAATTACCCTTTTTAATATCAACATAGCTTCAAGTTCGTTCATGCAAAGCTTCCCTTAGCTCCCCTTCAACACACACACACCACCCCATTCTCACGACTCTCACAACTTTTCACGCGTCAGTCAACCGCGAGCTTCCACTTCTCCTCTTCATCTCACACATAAGCGAATGGGTCAAAGAGTGAATTGGCTTTTGCTTGTCTTTCGGGACGAGATCGGGATGAGGGGGGGCGGAAACTTCTTTTCCCATTTCCCCTTCCTGCCTTTGCTTGACACAACCTAGATCCTTGGGTTTTCATCTCATTTCTCGGATCATAAATTTCTCTGCTGATTTTCTTCTCAACGGTCCAAACTTCACGCACTAAGACGGTAGGCCATCCATGAAGAGTGGGCGATAATTACTCCGTTATTAATGACGATGCGATGAAAAAAAAATGTCCATGAGGGAGACTTGTAAGATCTTCAATGACGGAACGTGTCACACGTTAGACAAAACCGAGCGCTTAGTAGTAAGTACATGCGTACGGAACCAAGAAGAATTCCAATGCAGGCACTTACACGTTTACTGAACCAAACAACGATTCAATCCTCTCCTAATTAGTAGAGTGCAAGACATCCCAAAACACGTTCTTACGCAGGGGGGGCCCGAGGTTTTGTCGAACAGAGCCCATGCCTGGCGACCTAATCTGCTTGATCTCCAAGTCTGGACCAGGGACGGGATGGCAGGCAGTCAGCAGTACAGTCATCTTTCTCTCATGGCAAGCTTGAAAAAGCATCTCAATTCAAGTGCTGGGTGGGCACTACACTGTTTTATTAAAACTGTATTCTTGTACTTGTGACTCAGAAAGAATTAACTTTCTTCGATAACAAGGTACTTAGGACCAGGGACGGGGGGATCGGAAGAGACTCCGGGCATGCATTCCCCCAAGACAACCATTACCAAGACTCACTCAACACGCAGCAGAACGCGGGATGTTTGATGCACCACCACCCCAAGAGAAAAAGCAAAATTACAATATGACGGCAGTGGGTTTTTTTGCATGTTGCTTGGAATTCCCGACTCAAGGGGGCACGGCGGGGGCGTGGTATCTTAGTGCAATGCTTGCTCAGCCCGAGGAATAAGAAACTCCAACAGAGACAAATTCGTCATTGTAGGTCGACACTTGTGACGTTGGAGGGCACAGGCGGGCAGATCACCACATCCTTCGGGCCCTTTTAGGCTTCATCCATCCACGCATCTTGTTGCGCACCGACATGCGGCTTGCCGTGGGCCCACGGGCACTTACAGATGGAGATGACAGAGACAAGAGGAAAAGAGCTGAATGTGAGATGTCCATTTCCCAAGCCAAGCCATGTCACCCCATGCCTCGGCGCACCCACGGACGCAACCTCCTTCATGATGTTCAGGCACGATATCCCATCACGGGCATGTCTTCCTAGCCTCCCTCTCTGGTGTGGTCAGTCTTTACGTGCTTGCCACGGCCAAGGAGATCGTATTTTGATGGGCAACCATCGCCAATGACACATTAAAAGTGCCTCCTCTCAAAGCGGCAATGATATGACAAGCTCTGGATCTGGACCCCAGACGCCCGGATGCTGGCTGACCACCACTACTTTAGTCCGCCAGCCGTTGCCTTTGTATCACATCACGTTGAAATCCCATTTGATGGAATTTACAAAGATGCAAGTAGGAAAGCAAAACATTGCAAGATCTAGCAAAGTCGAAAAAAACGCCTAATCAGTACATAGAATACGGGCTGTCGAGCGTTGGCTTGCATGCGGCTTGCAGACTCGTGTGAGAGACAGCCAATGCTGTAACGACCACGCCGCGGCCCTGGGCACATCACATTCCATCAGCCCAATCCCCATCCCATGCACAGCACCCACAAAGTGACGCCGGCAGAATCTGTCTCTTGTGTTGTTGTTGACGATACGGATGACGGTCACTGGACGCATCTCATCCCCTTCCGCATCCCAGTGGCATCGAGTGGCATCTGGTGGCATCCAATGTGATGCATTGGCGATGTTGGTCCAATCGACAGCGTTTGCCTCGTTTTCGAGAAGTACGTACCTCTCTCTACCTCAATGGAGGTACGTAGTTTACGCAGTAAGGTACGGATACCTCTAGTCATCACTGAACAGGCGTTGGAGAACCCCCCACACTAGACCGCCATCAGCGCCGGTTTCCTTCCATCATCCGCTGGCAAACCAGACGCTAGTGAGGGTTAGGTACTGGCATCCACTGGAGAGTTGCTCTGTATAGGTCCGTATAGACAGCATTCTGCCCGGTGAGCGAGATGAAGTGGTCCACGACTCCACGATGCTGCGGCTGTTCTATGCGTCCCTGTGTCTCATTCTCTACTTGTACAACTTCCAAGTTCCCCAAAGTCACAGATCCCCAGCTTCAATCTCCACTTTTGGCCGAGTTCAGCTTTGACGAATCACAGCTCGCCCACGCAGCTCTAGAAGAAGACTAGCGTCGCAGGGCGGAGCTCGATTGGCTACGGCTTGTTCCCGCAAAGTGAGGCTGCCGCCCCGCCGGCTCCGACGATTGGCTCTTTGCGTTCGGGGGAAAGAGAGGAGGTACGTACCCTTCCCTTTCCTCTTCCTCCTCTTCCTGAATCCTCGTCTTCCTCCTCCACCAACTGTGCAAGTCCATCACCATCCATCCATGGAGCATGGCGGCATGGCCACTCCCTACACGGCCAGGCTGAGTCTCGTCTCGTCTCATCTGCCCAGGTGTGCCAGACCTCCTCCTCCACTCGAACGAACTCTCTCGCTCGTGACCGACCCGTTCCTGGGGCCAAGGAACGTGCAAGTGCCAGTTCTGTCTCTCCAGTCTCCATCATCACGGCATCGCCCTCACCTAGCGTCATCTCCTTCATCTCGCAACTCCGTCTACACAGTCACCTAATCTTGGCTACCATGATCCATCGGCATCAGACTCAGATGCCAATTTGTCAAAACGTGACGCCGCACGCGCGAACCGCAGCGGGTCCCTTTTCATGTCCCCATTCTCATGGCCCATGGAATCTGGAATTTCCAATACCTGGGAACATCACGAAAGAACTGACCAGCCAAGCCAAACATTTCAAGTCTCCATACCAAATCCCACCCCCAAAAGAAGCTTGGGATCGTCCCGCACCACATCTCGCAACAGCTCCGCCTCGAGGGATCATCGCTGTTGATCCTCTTCGGCTACTTCCAGCTGCTCGAGCTGAATTGGGCCCCAAGGTCCCGACTCTCCTACCCTTTTCCCTCCTGTGCCCCAAACCATCAGCCAGCCCACAGCATGCACCGTAACCCCCCAAGGAAGCCCCCAGCCAGAAGCTATTAGTTGGCAGAAACCCGCAAAGTCTCTCTTACCGCCGGGGGAGTCTGGGAGAGAGAGATGAGGTGTCATCAACCGCGACCCTCCTTGTAGATGGACCAGTGGCCCAAGCATCTCTGCGACAATCTCCCGTCATCAGACGGCTTCTGGCATTACCGGTGGGGGGTGTCCCCGGCACGTCCGGGTCATTCTCCCCAATTCCCCCCTACCGTCTCCTCACCATCCCAATCCCAAGGTTTGGTGTATTGTTTCCGTCTCTCACCTTTCCCAGTTGGATGGCAGCTTTTGAACGCTGGAGAATGGAGACGCCCAGAACCAGTTGCCAGAGGCTCTAGTGTATTGCAGATCTGCACTCCGTTTGTCGAACCCTCACCGAACTCTGTTCTCTATCTCGCCAGTACGGATACAAGCGGCGCCCGCTGCACCCTGCACAACTGCGCGCGACTCAGGGCCAGCCAGCGAGATACCTGTTTATGACAGTCGCAGAGCTAAGGACTGACCGCAGTTTGCAACGGATTAGGTACGATTAGTGACACGATACGACAATGCACAAGTGGGTTATTTCCTTGTATCTCATCTTCCCCCACGATGCCGATGTTTCCCATCTCGCTTTCGCCGTCGCTTCTACTGTTAGACTGTCTCACGAATACAACGCTACGACCTGACTGAGTACGGGAGTATGGCGGTGACCCTTCATTATCGCCGAAACTGCGCTTACCGCCAAGGATCATCAAAATCATCAATCTTATTAGCGATTTCACCTTGACTCCCTTTGGAAAGAAAGCAACGCAAGACTCTATGAATCTCAATTGTACGGATAAAGCCATTGGGCCTTTGCGTGCAACACCAGCAGAACTCAATCCTCGTAGTGGAATGGCGCCAACTTCTGCCACTCTTGGCACGGCACGACTTCCAAAGTTCCAAGACTCAGATCCAAATCTGTTTGCCAAAGTTCCATCTCAAGTTCCTCAAAGTTCCCTTTTCGCCAAGCACGATGCTCGTCAGTCGTTTCTTCTGTGCGGCGGCTGTGCCAGACACAAGAGGGAAGAAAATTGACATGACACCAAAAGTCCAAGCAAACGTCGGCATGGCATGGCACTCGCATGGCCTGTCTCTCAACGCCTACTTGATATCTCAAATCAGTACCCACTGCCGAGTGGGCTGAAGTATCGTGTGTCTTGAACGGCTTCTGGCATGACACGGCCCATTTCGGTGAGATTCGAGAGAACTAAGAGAGGGGTAACACCATCAGTATCCTACCTTACCAAACTATCCATCCACCCAACCATTCACACGGGACGGGACAGATACACAAGATACACGGAGTAGTCCCTAGGAAAACTTGAATAGCCTACCGCCGCTAGGACTTCTGCTTTCCTGAACCGTCTGCCGTCATCCAATCCGGGACGGCATGAAGAGGCGCCTTGGCTTTAACTGCCCAGGGAGCAGATTCATGCCTTCTTTTCCTTAGTAGGCTGCGTCCGAGAGCGAACTGTCAATTGTGAGTTTCTGGAAAGTCTGTAGTCGTACCGTATAGCGTCTTTTTTGGATCGCCGAATGGGCATCCGTGCTCTACTCGGCCCCGAGCCGCATCGCATCGCATCACATCGCAGTGATACCACAACCACCCGCATCCGCATGGCGTAGCGTATCGGCGTGCCGCCTACTCACTCACAGATGATACGGATACCACACACAGTGATACACACACAACATCTTTGCTGCGTGGTACTTTACCGCACTGCGGCGCAGCGCCGGCTTCTGATAGGAGCTGTGTTGGATTCCTTTGTTGTTGATCTGTGTCGCTTTTCTTTCCCACCCCGGGCGGTCGCGGCTGACTGGGCCATGTAAGTCGAGCCTGCAGGAGGAGTGTTGCCTGGTAGCCTGCCGCGATGTTTGGCCTCCTCCGATCACGCGCGGCACAGACGATGCTGTCGGTTCTGTGTGCTGCGGTCAGCATTTTACCTTGAGCGACCAATGAATTAGTCGTCGAGGGGGGACTTCAATGTGGCGGCAGCGGGCGGGGGAAAAGTACGCTGCGTGATCTGCGCGTGTTGGTCGTTCTCCAGACCGGCGACGGTATATCTGCGCGCGAGGGGCGGGCTTGTCGCCGATACCGCGACGGCAATGTGTTTTCCAGCGACAGAGAGATGCCTTCAAAGTACTTGACAGTGCGGCTTTGAGCTTGGATGATGTTGAGCCTCAGTGACACGCCATGATAGTCGCCGCTCTTCGTTACGTCTTTACAGCCTGAGTGCGTGGAGCGTGCTACGGCTCGCCATGAAAAGGAGTCTCCCAGATGCCAACTGTAAAGCCACAATCCAAAGTCTTACCTATGGGAGTCTTCACTGCGATCTTAACGCCACTGGAGGCAATTTTGTCCCCTTACCGTCCTCATGCTTCGTCGGGACGGGCCTTCCTGTGGCGGCAAACCTAGGTATACTTTGACGTAAAGACCTGGAAGGTTTACTCGCTATTATCGAATCCAAATACGTGGTGCGCATATCGTCAATACTATACAGTCTTTACAACAAGATGACTGTTATGCACCAAAGACGCTTGCACTCCATCAATTGAATACTCGGCTGTTCGTGTTACTCAGACCAAGGCCCCTAGGCATTGATCTCCTGATTCCCGTGAGACTCGAGAGATTAGCTAGACGACCCACAGCAGCCGTGGACCTACAACTCGAGCTCTGTTGTCGAAATGAAAGCGACCATGTGATAACCATATTTTGTCCAGATAGCATCTGGCTTGTTGGTTCCGAAGACGGTGGATGTGAATATAGCGCCGGAAGGAGGCATAGTTCGCCAACCTCGCCCGACGAATTATGATGGCTCCCCGAGGGAGGACAGGCGGGGTTCATGACACAGCCTTTTCACTGCAGTGTTAACTCTTCTCAAGTGGGTTGTGTTCACCCTAGACGTATTGAAATTCCAACGATTCTATCTTGCATCACTACTTGTGACTAAGTTCTGGGGGTTGCCGTACCTTATGTTGGCAGAATCGTATTCGTGTATCGCCTCCAAAGGCTGAAGTCACCACGCGAACTCTGAAATGGAGTCGTAAAATACAGGTGAGTACCCAGCTGGCTTTTCTCGTAACCTCAATCTCAGAGTCTGGGCGGTCGATATGGTTTGAAGGAATTGTGCTCCAGATAGTGATGCAAGTTCTCAATTGCGCATGCTAATTAACAGGAGACTCACACTGCAGTAGATTCAATTGTGTGAACTGATAATCAAATTTACAGCATGAATTATAACACGATATTCTTTTGTAACAATTGCCCAACTTATTCTGTAGAGATAAAACCGCAGCAATTGATATTTCATAGTTCTCGAGGTGGTTGTTCCTGACGTCCAATAATTGCTTCACGGCACGTGACCGCCTTCGTTATCGGAGCATCCCCACCGGCAAAACACCGGCGATCTTATCTGGGCGGGACCCTGCTGTAGATGACACCTGTGAGCTACGGAACCACGGTAGCCAATGCGCGGCGCGATTGTCAAAGCAGCTTCAAGGTGGCCACACGAGCAACGGGCACCTCACCACCACAACTTTCAACTTCTCTGCATGTGAGCGAACCTTCATTCACACGGCACGATGGGCCGTTTCAGTCTACTTTTGCTGGCTACGGCTCAGCTTTGCGGGGCTCGTCATCCTGGCTTTAGTATACACGATGACCTCGTGGCATATCCCCAGGTTCGTCCGATCCAAAGGAGTTCGTTCCATGGAAGCTCTGGCGGGCAAACTGACAATGAGCGCACCTACAGTACGAGATAGTCTTTTCGGAATCCTACATACTAGAACACGAAGCGCAGGCGTTACTGGACCGCACAAACCCGCATTCTGCCTACTCGGCCGAGTTCTCGACAGCTTCCGACGTCTCCCAGAACGTCAGAGAGGCCACCGACTCCGACAATGGCCGTTCCTCTGAGGTCTTTGAGCGATACGAGCTCATGAACACGGCTGACTTGAAGTACCTCTGCTCGATACCCATCTTGGAGCCCCAGACTCCCGAGAATCACACGGCGACGGAGCTCGCGAAGCAGGAAGAGGCACGCGAGCTGGCAAAGGCCTCGGCGCATGGCTGGGAGCTGCTGGACGAGCTGGATGGGAACTGTCTGTACTTCATGTCCGGCTGGTGGAGCTACAGCTTCTGCTACAACCGCGAGATAACCCAGTTCCACGCCCTTCCGACGGTCCCCAACGGGCAGCCGCCCGTCCGCGACCCCCACACAGCCGAGTACGTCCTCGGCAGGGTACAGAAGTCGCCTAGCCAGCGACAAGGCCAGGAGCAGCAACATCAGCAGACGACAAAGTCGGGAGACCCTCCCGCGAACACAGATTTGCAGATTAAGGGCGACCAGCGGTATCTCGTGCAAAAGATGGAAGGCGGCACCGTCTGCGACCTGACGGGCCGCGACCGGACAATCGAGGTGCAGTACCACTGTGTGCCGGGCATGAAGGGAGACCGCATCGGTTGGATCAAGGAGGTCACCACATGCGCCTACCTCATGGTCGTCAATACGCCGCGCCTGTGCGACGACGTCGCCTTCCTCCCGCCGAGGGCCACGAGCGCCAACCCAATTAGCTGCCAGCTCATCCTCCCCTCCGACGACCCCGCCGCTCAGGCCGAGTGGCATCGTCGGAAGACGTTGGAAGCCACGGAATCTATGGTTGGCAAGCAGGACGGCGCTGCCGCAACGGATGAGGAAGAGGCGGCAGAACTCCTGAAGCAGGCCCAGCAAGACCCTAACGTCAGAGACAAGGCCCAAAAGGGCGTCAACGTGGGCGGCGTCATTGTTGGTGCGCGAAACGTGCTCGGCGATGCGGACGAGGAGGGCAAGCCACCGACGAAGCTCTCGCCGCCGCGCAGCTACCTGCCTGGACGCGGCCACGGCCCGCTGGTGGAAATCATTGCCAGCGCCAAGAGCAAAGCCGAGGGCGGCGCGACGGAGATGCTCGACGACGATGAGCTCAAGAAGCTGGATCTGAGTCCCGAGCTCGTCGAGGAGATGCGGGCTGAGCTGGAGCGGATCGCTGGCGACAAGGGATGGAAGCTCGAGGTGGTGGAGCAGCCGGGTGCGCAGAGAGAGATCCAGGGCATTGTTGACCACGGCTCTGACGGCGAGGATGGCGAGGAGGCCAAGGGAAAGAGGAAGAAGAAGGTTGTGGAGGGGGAGAAGAAGACACAGCAAAAGGGTCAGAAGCAGGACAAGCAGGATCAACAGCAGGAGGGTAGCGAGGAGCAGTTCTTCAAGGAGGAGCTGTAGTGATGCCCTCCCCTGATTTGATGGCCTAGCATTGGCGTTTGGAATGTTTATTGTATTGATATGCTGAATGATACAGAGGGCCGTACGTTGGTCCCCATGCTCTCGAGAGTCTCTTTAACTGCACACGCCTTGCTCTACAGCCCACTACTTGCCTCTGTAATTTCACAAATGTGTCGACGAATTCAATGTACCCTTTCAATTCCCTTTTTCGCTTGGTTCTCAGGAGTATTCAGGAGTATTCAGGTGTGGGAGTTGCTCGGTTTTCAGGCTGTTCGGCTTTGAGCCTTTCGGTTCTCAGAATATCCGGTCCTGGAACTGTTCAGCAGACTACTCCATGAAGGATCAAAACAATCTGCTTGCTCGGGCAGCAATCGGACTTGTCAGAAACTATACGATCGGTGGCATCAATTTGCAGCATGGCATCACGCGGATTCAACCCGAGATGATAGTCATTCAACGGGCGTCGAGTACGAATAATTGACGAGGCGGGCGAATGTCGATTTCTTCTTTCGATCTAATGGCCACGTCGGACTTGGAAGCAATTCGATGTCACACCCGGACTCGGTATCCCGATCAACCCAACGGGATCCCGAAACGGCAATGTTTTGGACCACTTCTTATTCAGCTACACTCGACTGGATCCACAATAGCTGGACTGTTATGATCTTCAGGGTCATGGTGTCGACTGCCGTCTCTCACGGATCTCAACGAGGTCTAATTTGATCGTGGTCTAGGCCATTATCTCGATGCTTTGTTGTTGTGAGGAACTGGCAGGGATGTTGGCAACGTCATTCCATATAGTTCATATGAAGCAGCCTCGTGTGAGACAATACCTACCTGCATTAATTACTGGAGACCGACGAATGTAACGGTCAGATACATCTTGTTGAGCTGTTAAATGTTCTTTTCCACGATCAACCCTACAGAACACA